CTCATGAAAAGACCAGACAATCCGATTAACAAAACATTACTTTTTGTAGTAAAGTATTTAAAGAAAAAATTCAGCACTGCCAAGATGTCCCATCATGCTCCCATAGAATGTTTAAAGTATTATATAAAGGATATAAATATTCAAGAATGGCAAAAGTGTGGAACTGTGGACCTCTCAGAGATATTGGATGGGGATTCAATCGTGCCAATTCCCCATTTGCAGTTTAAAAATAACCTCACTTCTAGAAAGTTGTTTAACTATTTCAGAATAAGATCCTTTATAATAAGCAAAACACTAGCGGAGCTAACCCAGATTGACCAGTTTCTGGCACAGCATTTTAGAAACAAACTGGCTTCCAGATTTTCTAGGTTTCTGATAAATCAAGGGCAAATAGAAAAGGCACCGGCATTGATCAAATGGGATCAAGAACTCCAATTTAACTATTCTTTGGAAGAAAGGCTGCAGGGCTTACTTCTTGCAAAAAGGCATTTTCACTGTTTAAACATATTGGAAGTCTATTACAAACTCATTTATCGATGGTATCTGGTCCCTACACAATTATGCCGAATCCAACCTCAGGTGTCCCCAGACAGTTGGTGATGTGGCAGGGCAATTTGTTCATTTCCCCACATATGGTGGCAATGCAAGAGCTGGATACCTTAAAAGAGACCCTGTTTAGTATGGTAAATTTGATTTTTAAGACGAAAGTCAAATTAATAGTACAAATGTTCTTGTTTCATATTGGCTTGCCTACAAGTAACACAAATACTAAAACCCTGCTGGTCCATGTCTTCATGGCCACAAAAATAGTTATAGTTATATCCTGACAGAGTTTCCATAGAGAAATATGAAGAGGTTTGGGCCCCTTGGATTAGATTTAATGGACCCTATGACTGATTGCTGTAGTGCCCCAGCCATCCTGCCATCACCCTTTGGATATGAATGATGTGTCGAGTGTGTATGAATGGGGTCAAAGACGGATTGAATGCCTGGTATGATATATGATGAAGGTGGCTTTGCCAGGG